TTCGTCAGTTTCTACAAAATAAATAAAAACATAATGGCTGGCGATAGATTTTGACTATTTTTATAAGCCGTCATCTTTTCTGAAAATTTTCCTTAAATGTTTTAGAAGTGATGTAATGTGATTTATTTGTATTTTGTCAGTCCGTTGTCAAAGATGATAGTCATAACAATTACATTATCTCAAGATTCGAGTGTAATGTTTCAATCTTAGCCCTTTGAAAATGCCCAATTGTACATTTGATAAGATGCAGATGATAAATGGATTCATTAAAAAGAATATGACAGCATTCGATACAGATTTGGATATTTAGATCAGCAAAGTGCTTATCCTCTATGTGTCTTGAGCCTCTCTAGGCTGATCTTCTTTATACTGCCCTCTACGATACAACCCTTTCTACCCTGTCGCTCCGTATTCATATCAAACACATTTCCTTCCTCCTATTCTTGTTTTGATCCACAGTTTGAGTTCCAAGGTATCGTTGGTAATGGAAACCGAAGTGATATTGGATTAGATGATCTGAACCCTGTATCAGGAACATGTGATGGTAAGAATGCCCTGTTCATACCAACATGTGATGGTAAGAATGCCCTGTTCATACGAACATATGATGGTAAGAATGCCCTGTTCATACCAAAATGTGATGGTCAGAATACCCTGTTCATACCAACAAGTGATGATAAGAAAGCCCTGTTCATACGAACATGTGATGGTAAGGATGCCCTGTTGATACAAACATGTGATGGTAAGAAATCCCTGTTCATACGAACATGTGATGGTAAGAATGCCCTGTTCATACGAACATGTGGCGGTAAGAATGCCCTGTTCATACGAACATGTGACGGTAAGAATGCCCTGTTTATACATTTGAATAAACAAGTATTACCAACCGTTAACCGGAACAAAACTGCTTGAATATTGTCGTACACCTTTGATTTAAAACTATGCCAAGACTTATTATATTTTCTTTCATGGTCCTTGGTAAATTTGATTCTGTAACTTTTACTATCACTCAATTTTGCCTATAAACCCATGCGAACCTCGTGTCGAACCAGCTCCAAATAAGGAGAAAGATTAATAAACCTGACTAATCATTCTGATTTTACTTTGTAGTAACTCCACCTGCGGCAAGGGTTGAACTCCCCAGCACATCACCCATAATGCCCCGTACAACTATTACGTCAGTAACACGCTCTGGGACTGGAACTCCCAAGGCAACAGAGGGCGCACCTCTGCCAACGTTCACCACATCGGGTCAGACAGAGCAGCCCAAGACAGAGACAACTGTGACCAATGGTTAGTAATTCTTTTGTTGCAAGCAGTTGAATTTGTATAAAATGTATATATTTACAATGTTTGATTAATATTTGTATCATTATTTAATGTTTTGTAAGGAATACTTTGTTTACTTTGTTGCACCCTTTTGCAAAAATGAAAAAACACACCCCCCCCCCCCCTTGCGTAAGCGCCTGTAATAAGGTATGGTAGACTATGCCTACCATTTGTTATCAGTACAAATATAAATATATTTTTATCTTTTAAAGCTCTTGCGTTAAGATCATGGTAATTATAATTATGATACTGTTTCTTGTTGTTGTTTATATAGTTTACATGTTTCATTTATTTCATTTTCCCTCATATTTCAGTGATGCGAACAGAAGGCCAAAAGGGAGCTGGTATGTATGTTGTACATAATATGTTTAGTTTCTTATCTTTTTTAATTAAGCGAACACGTCTGTACGCTAATAACCCCTTTGCTATTCTTTGTGTGGGGAAAGAAAAACCGTTCATGCACAGATAACGCCATATATCCACACCCTTTTTTTGTGTGTTACAGAGCCTCTAGCTATAGCCCTTGGGGTGACTGGCGGGATCGTAGCCGTCATCTTACTGGTGATCGTTGCTTGGTTTATTACTAAAAGACGCTCAAGGTTAGTTTAGCCGTCATCTTTAATACTGGTGATCGTTTCTTGGTTCATTACTAAAAGATGCTCAAGGTTAGTTTAGCCGTCATCTTAGTGGTGATCGTTGCTTGGTTCATTACTAAAAGACGCTCAAGGTTAGTTTAGCCGTCATCTTAGTGGTGATCGTTGCTTGGTTCATTACTAAAAGACGCTCAAGGTTAGTTTAGCCGTCATCTTACTGGTGATCGTTGCTTGGTTCATTACTAAAAGAGGCTCAAGGTTAGTTTTATTCAGGGCTCTAGGAGTCGATTATGACCGTCTCTTACCTGCAATAATGTTATCTTTGCTACGTCGTGATATTGATCTTTTTTTTAAATGGAAATGCAAGATTTTTTTTTTGTTCTTGGCCCGGTATATTTAAAAAGCATTTTACAGCTGCAGAATTAGTTCACTAGTCTGCTTATTAGAAATTGTAAGTTTAATGAAATTACATGTACAATAAATTTGAATGTTACATAATTTTAGATAAAGAAGAAAGGTTGCATAATTCTGTACTATTGGAAAATATTGTTCTCAAATAGTGGCCATTAACACCCAACAAGGAGAGATACCGAAACGGGCTGTAATGACAATATTGTGTAATTAAACTGCTGCCAAACTTTTGTGGCATGTTGTTATTTGTGACGATTGTGAATTTTCTTGTTCCAATGGGCCATTTTTGTAATGTAACCAACTTTCATTCACCTGTTAGAAATAATTGTTTTCTAGTAGGACAAGCCATACTGTTTGTCCGACCTAGCATCAACAATATGTATGCAATATATTGAAATACAATTGTTTTCTTAAAAGTCGAATGGAATAATTTGTAACGAGGCACTTAACAAAGAAAGAATGGTGCGTTAATGTGGTTACATTAAGAAAATGGTCTATTAACAAGAAAGAGTTAAGGTTATACTTCAACAAGTGTTTCTTTCTTTGTTGTGTAGTTATAAACTGGAGATAGAAACCCTTCATACTAACATGGAAAACCCCACATATGACCCTGACGGGCTCGGGGGAGATGTAAGTATTAATATAAACATTCACAATAAACTATATTATCAATAGTATTGACAACAACAGTAACGGCAAAAAAATAAAAATAATAATAACAACACCAAGTACAACAAAGTAATGATAATATTTATCGTAATTATTCTACTACTACTACTACTACAACTACCAGGCGCGGATCCACGGGCCGATTGTAGAGGCCCAGCCTCCCCCCCCCCCACCCCCGCTATACCCCCAAACGGTTCTTAAAAAATGGGATAGTATCTGAAATGTTACCCTTTTTTTAACAAAAAAGAAAATCGCCCCCCCAACAAAAAAAACACACACAACAGCAACAACAAACAAACAAACAAATTTCACCCGCAAAAAAATAGTATTTCCCCCCCCCCCCCACCCCCGCCGCTTATTCACCGGCCGGACTGAACTGACAAAAAATATATGCGTGCTCTAACCCCCCCCCCCCCCACCGGTTAGCTGATCCGCTGCTTATTTTGTTCTTACGATTCGCCCCCCCCCCCCTCCCTCTTGTCGCCGGCTGGATCCGCCCCTGACTACTACCACTACTACTACTTCTACTAATACTACTTCTACGACTACTACTACTTCTACTTCTACTACTACTACTTCTACTACTACTACTACTACTACTACTACTACTACTACTAATACTACTACCACTACTACTACTGTTACTACTACCACTACTACTACCGCGGCCATTAACATTACTACTATTACTAGTCCTATTACTACTACTACTACTACTACTACTACTACTACTACTACTACTACTACTAATTCTTCTTCTACTACTACTACTTCTACTACTACTACTAATACTACTAGTACTACTACTACTACTACTGCTGCTGCTGCTACTACTACTACTACTACTACTTTTTGCTATTAATGATAATAATGATGACTTTGTGCAATTTTGTTTAACTAACTCCCTTGTTCCGTCTTCTAAGTCATATTTATTTCTTACTTTTCCAAAAAATGTTGCCAAACGATCTTTGATGTTTTCATTTGTTTAGATTGTGTTGAGAGACATGGAGAAAAGTCCGGTAGAAATAGAACCACGTTACCAGTCCTTTGTAAGTTTCGTTTCTGCTCTTGCTCAAGAATTATTGAAAACTATTTTCGAAAAAATCTGTCACTAAATTACAATAAAATGTAATAACATAATTAATGAACGACAATATAACTAAGAAATAATTATGTTATCATGGTAATTTAGGGACATATAAAATTATTCAAAAATATATTCATATGGACACTTGGCATTCCATACTTAGTCTGGCGATAAAACCATGGATTAAGTTAGTCCTCTTTGGAGAATACCACCCATGTACACCGGGGGATTAAACCATGGACTAAAGTTAGTCCTCTTTGGAGAATACCACCCATGTAAACCGGGGGATTAAACCATGGACTAAAGTTAGTCCTCTTTGGAGAATACCACCCACGTACACCGGGGGATTAAACCATGGACTAAAGTTAGTCCTCTTTCGAGAATACCACCCATGTACACCGGGGGAACAAACCATGGACTAAAGTTAGTCCTCTTTCGAGAATACCACCCATATAAATAATGTTCAGGTTACGTAATACGTCATTATCATGTTCACGCATTCTAATAGGTGACGTCATCAGCTATTGAAAACAGGTTGATTTTCACAAAAGTATTTGCGATCGTGTTATAGGTTGAAGAATAGTGTTGATGTGAGGAGGCCACGCCCCATTCTCCTTTGTCACAACATTAGAATGATTTTAAAGGATATCAAATGCTTGTTACAAATTAATATAACTATGATTACAGTCACATTTCAGTTATTTCCCTGCTCACCCGCGATTTCTCCATCCCATAATTCAGCCTTAATATAACTAACAAAGCCCATGAATGTTTTGCTTACGATATTATTTTTCGATACTATCTTAAAAGATAGATAAATATAAAACGAAATAAATATATTTTTTTTAAATACAAAAATGAGAGATATAACACGTGCCGTAAAGTATTTTGGTGACAATAGTCAAATTACTGACCAATCGCCAATAAGCCAAAACACAACAACAACTTAATCCATGTATTGAGATTTCAAACCAATATTGATAAACAGTATACTTCATTTGTATTTTAAACCATTGACATACGCCAATTCTTATGTTCGTTTAAAGATATTGAAAATAATACTTCTGCATTCATGTTGTCATATTTAAAACAAAATTGATATGGATCGAAACACTCAGTAGAGTGTAATATCATATGAAGTATAGTATTTCAAAAGAGTCCGCCTGTTTATTCCATGGGTCGATAAAAGCCAGTAAACTGGACATTCATTTTGACCTCTCTATAATAAATATTAAGAAACAGAGTATACACACGATGAGTAAGCATTCTTAGAGCCTAGGTCCATGTAAGAGTGATACATAGCAAAGTTGTATGCTGTTACATCACATCATATTCATTTTATACTCCACAATTTATTAGCTATCTGTTTTTCTCTTTTGTATTTTTTATTACAGGCTCCCGTAGTCCATACGGATGAGGGATTTGAGAACCCTACCTACGCACGTATGACGTCACCAGATGACACCGACATATAAATGACGTCATAATAAACATGGTCCACTAGGGATCGTATGATTTTCATCTTCTGTAACAATGTGACGTCATATCCTTGCCTCTTACATGAGGTCAGCAGGTGACACCGATATATAAATGACGTCATTATAAACATAGTCCACCAGGGATCATATGATTTTCTTCTTCTGTAACAATGTGACGTCATATCCTCACCTCTTACATGTCTCATGAGAACAGGACATCATTCAAAGTATCAGATGAAAATAAAGCCCAATCGAGGGAAATTAATATATGGATGACCAACTTTAGGCGATTCACATTGCAGACTTGGGTAATGTGTAAAGCACAATCAATCGCCTTTTCACTATACAACTGAGCAAAAATCATCAAAGTGGGAGTATAATTGCCTCAAAGTCGGTCGTAGAACCAATTACACTCATTAAGAACAATTTTAAAAACGCATTAGTTGTGCTTATCGCATAGGGGTCTCTTGTTTCGAAACTTAGAAAGAAATTCCACCAAATAAACCTCAGTGGAGCTAAAGAAGCGATGCAGATAAAATGTCCAGTCAGGTGTTATAAACGACACTTCCACTAGGTTTATACATGTGTACTTTCTTGCTTTTTGTCTATCTAGATTAATCTCCGTTTAGAAATCATTTGCCACTGTTGTTATCATACTTATACTGAACCAATGCTAATTAATGTAATGATAAATAGCACACGGAAGCTTTGTTTTATAACATAACAGATATAATACGTTGCAAAAAGTGCAAACATTGATAAGTTGCATTGATTAGAGTATTGATTACTCTTTGACTAGGCCTTAAATCTAGGTTTTCCAATAAAAGGCCTATATTCAGAGTCAGAGAAAGTTGGATGGAACCGCCAAATAAGTAAGTTTTTAATGAAGTGATATCATTTCTCTATGTTGAAATGTATTTTGTGTTGTTTTCCCGCTCTTGAATAATGGCTGTTTTATATCAATTTTCTTCAGCGATTATATCCAAATGCCGTTTAAATTTGCATTGCTGTCCATTTTTCTACTTCATGTCTGTTGTTGATGTTTTGGTGTGTTTTGTTGTTGTTGTTGTTGTGTTTTTTTTTTTTGGGGGGGGGATATACTTGAATTGAAAGGGAAGTAAACAAAATTGATTAGAAATATATATACTCTTTATATACTAAAATGAATATTAACATCGTTTTGGTTCATAGTGTTTTTCTTCTTACATTACATTCATCACGTACATGTTATTGGTTGTCCGTAGCAACAGCTCGCAAAATACAATTTAATTCCGAGTTGTAAATGGTGGCAGGCAGATGGCAGCCTTTACATGAACGTATATAAGTGTCCATGGTTGTGTTCATTATTATGTTTCACACTAGAAAGCCGGAGTGTGAGAGAGAGACAAAGAGAAAGAGAGAGTGTGTGAGAGAGAGATAGAAAGAGAGAGAGAGAGAGAGAGAGAGATTGGGGGTGGCAATTACTAGAGAAAGAGTACGTACGGTAATTCTGTTTGGAGCCAGAAGGGCGTTAACTCGTATACTTCAACACAGAGTTAACACCCTTCTGGCTCTCAACAGACTATAATGATATATAAGAGAGGGTATGATGAAAGATAAGGTGGTTTTAAGAGACAGTTATAATGAGTTTCATTTACATTTAAAAGCACCAAGTATTACAAAATAACTCTTCACAAGGCAAAACAAAGCGGTATACATTGACGTGTATATGAAAATTATGTTACCTTTTTCTTCTCTTTCTTATTCCAATCTTTTATTAATTTGTTCTGACTACGTAGACTTTGTCAGGCAATAATTCCTTACTCTCTCTCTCTCTCTCTCTCTTTCTCTCTCTCTATATATCCCCCTCTCTCACTCTCACTTTTTCTCTCCACCCTCCCTCTCTCAATATCTCTCTCTCAATCTCTCTCTCTCTCTTTGGTTTTCATATACCTTTTTAATAGTTCTCTGGATCTTTTGTAGACTCTGTTCACCCCTAGATCATCTGAAGTGACTTCTTCCGGATGAGGGAAGAAAGATCATGAGAGATTAAAATAACAGGAAATAACACCGACCTGGTATTCGGCATAATTATGCCTACATTGTGAAAATATGGGGGAATTCACAAACCATGATCTCGCAAACAAAGTGTACTATATTTGCTGCAGGCATACTTGTACTTAGCCTTTTGACAAGGCCTCGTGACTCTAAGCGGCTGAGATGAGTCTAGATACCCGGAGTGAACGCGCGACCGAGTGACGGAACGTCACGAGGCCTTTTGAAAAGTGGGTTTCACTGCTGCGCATGAATTATTCATAGATACATATTAACATGCCAATACGCCTACTTTGGATTTATTGACCAATCAGAACGGCGATCTCCCAGTTGGCTTCGTTCTTGATTCGTTCCATGTAGAGGTCAGTGGTCTTAGCACGTACGTAATAGTTCATAGCATGTAGGTCCATGTTCGCACTACGTAGAGTTTACTGTGTGTGTGTGTGTGTGTGTGTGTGTGTGTGATGGATACTATATGCTGACGTCGTGCGAGGATACGTTCGCTGATTGGACGCTCTATTTTCTGGAGCGAATTCCAGTCGGAAACAAGTGTTAACATAAGAAATCCAAATCAGATTGATAAAGGCCACTAGGATGGGCTCCTCGCTCTCGCGTTCACTTGGGTTTTCGCGATTAGTCTCGTTTTAGTCGCTCGGCGTCTATCAGACAAGTGGCCTTGTTTAAAGGCTAACTTGTACTAGGCATATATCCTGTAAGTCACTGTGCGTAACAGTGTCTGCACAGTGAGACTAGGCTGAGGGCATACTTCAAGGGCTCTTCTTAGCTGATTTAATAGACAATGCGCATGCGTTATGATCGATCTGAACTAAAAGTTTAGAACAAAGGTCAGAGTTAGGGGGAGGGGTATATAAAATTTAAAACGGTAAACTTGAGGGATAGAAACTGTCACCAGGATGGAAAATACACCAACAAATTTCAGTTCAGTATATGAAGGCAAAAATAATGACCCCATTTCATCGTTTATCTTAATCTATTTTGGACCTTTTGTTTTTTGTATGTTTAATTCTTTCGTTTATCAATGGTTATTATTCATATTGCAGATATCAGTTAGTCCACTTAACAAGTAATATTTTCATATTTTTAGTGTTCGATTAATTAATCATTCTAGCCTCGTCTTCAATGATGTTTCATATTGTGCCCCTCTTCAATTAAATTTCAATGTTGCCTTGTTCTGTTCACATTCGACGCCACTGATTTTGTTTACATTTGCCTGGCCCCTCTCCACCAGACGTTAACATTTTTAATCCAGGACGCCCTTCCAATTCTAAATTTTCCATAGGCCCTATAACCCTCCCTCCTTTGTTTTTGTTTGGTAATAGACTTGAATTGAAGGAAAAGTACAACAAGGATTATAAATAAATATACTCTTCGTATACTTAAATGAAGATACACGTGGTTTTGGTTAGTTCTGTTTTTCTTGTTTTAAGAAAGTGGTGTGAATTTCATGTTACATTCAATTCATCATGTACATGTTATTGGTTGTCCGCAGCAACAGCTCGCAAAATACAACTTAAATCTAAGTTGTAAATGGTGGCAGACAGATGCCAGCCTTTACATGAGCATATATAAGTGTGCATGGTTGTCTTCATAATTATGTTTGACACGAGTAAGAGAGTGTGTGTGTGTGAGAGAGAGAGAGAGAGAGAGAGAGTGTGAGGGAGACATAGAGAGAAAGAGAGAGAGAGAGAGAAAAAAAGGTAAATAACTAGAGAAAGAGTACGTACTGTAATTCTGTTTGGAGCCAGAAGGGCGTTAACTCATACTTTAACACAGAGTTAACACTTCTGGCTCTCAACATACTACAGTGATAAATAAGAGAGGGTATAATAAAAGATAAGGTGGTTTTAAGACCTACAAAATAAAACCCAACCCTAACTATTCCGTCGAGATCTTTACGCTCTCAAATCTCTTGATTTCTTCAAGCTCAATATTGGCAACTCTAAAACCCAATATGTGAACATCTTTTATTTAGATTTGTACAGTTATACTATACTGAAGGCGCACACAAGTAGTTAATTTAATTTAACTGAATTGTATTGTATTAGTAATATTTTATTTCATTTTGTTGCTTTTAAGCTATTGAACATGTTGAATAATTATACTGAGTTAGACAATACCACCTGTGTGCTTAGAAACGGCCGGCCGCGGCCGTATTAAGCGCCCTATAAATGCAATTATTCTTATTTATTATTATTAATGCATTTTGGGGGAAGTAGTGTTTTACAGTAAGAAATCTTGTCTCTATATTAGGGAATTTATGATGGTTTCAATAGAGACACCTTTGTGAAATTCAAAAGAAGATTCAGAACATTTCTCATGATTTTCTTTTGCCTCCCCCTACTCCTCAACCTCCAATAAGCAAAACGAAGATTTGGATGGCTTGTTGAACATCACATTTACCTATTCCAGTATGGACCTCATTTGTCTTTCTCTCAATGTGTTTGAAGCATGTTTTTCAAGAGGGATAACTACTTCTACAGAAAATATAAATTATGGTCATAATGCTTTTAACTATATATTTTAGCACAATACCGAAATATATATTTTACTTATTTTACGCAAACTACAAAGGTCACTCAGACACGACGCGGGATTGCAAGAAATTATATTTACATGGTTTTGATATTTGTTATCAGGCATAACGTAAATAATTATAATCTACATATACTTTTGATAACTCTGTTATTCATTTACTACAATCACTCAATATATATAGACTTTTCAGTTGTCCATGTCTTAATCAGGTAACCTGCTTTGAAATGTTAGTTGAAGCTGTATGATTTATCGACCTTTTGTCCTAATTATGGCGTGGAAGTAACATGTATCATATATTTGTATTTTTCACGTTAAAATATATTTCTTTACATTTTGTTTAAATGCTTCCGATGTAACCATTGTATTTACATCCATCATGATATAGATATACAGAGTGAGTAAGAAAAAAATGTCCCAATTAAAAAAAAATGTATTGTTTGAAGTATGAATATGTAATCATGGTTTTCATGATATGTCTTGATAGAGTACATAGTTATGTCTTGATCCTCCCAGTAATTTGAATCCCTGCATGCATGACTGAACATCAGACAATCTTTACAAGACTGCCAGATCTCACTTGTGCCAAGTTGCTGGGTGAGGAATAAAATAGTGTTTTGAACAGAGACAGCCAAATAGACAAACACACACCCCCATGCAAACACACACACACATGCGTTTCTGCATGCCAGAAGTAGTACACATCTTTATGTTCAACATGTTCGAAAACATTTTTTTTTTGGTCTGAATATAACATTCTAATAACGATTTGAAAGATAACCCCATAGCCAAGGATCTAGTAATTGAAGAAAAAAAACTTTTTCAGCATGCGAACGGAGGATCTAAATAAACGTATCCGATATCTGAAAGGTCATCAAACTTTGAATATTTTAGATGGACGTTTAGCGAGTGGTCATGGAGGTGAGTGTATAAATCTTATGGGTGTCCT